TTTTTGCTTATCTTCAACTGGGGTGCATAATTTAGGAATATTTTTGAGCCGTGTTAGAACTCATACCATAACTAAAAACAGCCATTAAATAATTTTGTATATAGTAGGCATTTTTCTTCAGTAACACACATCTACATAAAATGGTCTTCATCAAAGAGGCCAAATACATGTTAAAATTGAATGTCTTTAGTTAGAATTGCAAGTTTGAAAAAAGTTAAATTGACCATTGTCGTTAAGCCAACTTGAGAAACTTAAAGTACTGGGTTGCTCAGACAGTTCAAATATTCCTCCTCCTGTTTATTCTTGAAAAAGAAAGATAATCTTTTCTCCTTCAACTGCCAAACCATTGTGAAATTTAGGATACACATTAAGGCAAAAGAAAAAAAGTCTCTTACACTCCCAAGATAAGTTCCTTTTGATGTATATATTTTTTCCTCCCCTCTTTGTGGTCAGAGTCTGTATAACTTTCATCATTTATGCTTGTGACCGTACTTTACACAGCCTTTGGCATATAATAAGCACTTGAACTCACACTGATTAAAAGTTGAACTGGAGCATAAATAGGACTCTGATGAATCCAAGCGCCTAACTGACCTCAAGCATTTCTCTGATTTGATCTTTTTAACTTAATAAATAAGGTTTTACAAATTATCTGACTTTAGTATTGTAGAGAGATGCAACTACAATAACAAAAGGTTTTTTATTTTGAGGAAAATTTATGAATGCCTGTTCTTATTTGTTTAACACTTTAGTGTGAAAAACCTGAGAGGAAAAAAGAAAAGAATCTAATAATATTGGAATCTTCTGTCATCTGCTTATAAATACATTCATAAGGGGGGGTGACATCTCTACTGAAATCTAACGCACATACTAGTCAGTTTACCCATTTAAAGCCTACGCTTCAGTGGTTGTTAGTATATTTAGAGTTGTGCAACTTTGGCCACAAGCAATTTTAGAACGTTTTCATCATTCCCAGAGGAAACCCAGCACCTATTAGCTGTCACTTCCCATTCCCGCGTCTCCGCCCCCAAGAACTCTAATCTACTTTCTGTCTTTATGGGGTTGCTCTTCTGGCATTTCATCAAAATGGAATCAGGCCATATGTGGCGTTTTCTGTCTGGTTTCTGTCACTTAGCATACTGTGTTCTAGGTTCACTCATGCCATAGCATGAATCAGTACCTTATTCTTTTTATGGCTGAATAATATTCCATCATATGGCTATCTCACTTTTTAAAAAATATCCATTCATCAGCTGATAGACATTTGGGTTGTTTCTACTTTTTGGATATTAAGAATAATGCTGCTATGAACATTCATGTGTATGCTCTTATGTGGACATATGTTTTCATTTCTCCTGGGTGTATCCTGGGACTGGAATTGCTAGGTCATAAGGTCACTCTGTGTTTAATCATTTGAAGAGCTGCCGGACTGTTTTCCACTGTGGCTGTGTCACTTTACAACCAGCAACGTGAGTGTTCCGGCTTCTCCACATCCTTGCCACACTGGTGGTTGTCTGTCTTTTGATTATAGCCCTCCTAGTGGATGTGATAGAGTATCTCTTTGTACTATTAATTTGCATTTCCCTGATGGTTCCTGATGCTGGATGTGGAAAGATACATGCTTCTTGGCTATTTGCATATCTTCTTTGGAGAAGTGTCTGTTCAGTTTCCAGAGCCTTTCCTATTTTTTGAGTTATCTTTTCATTGTTGTAAGAGTTCTGTACATAAACATATTCTCAAGTAGATCTTTTAAAATTCCTTATTCTGTGACACCTGTGATCTTTAACATACCTGTAAATTCTATAAACTGCCTACCCTTTACCCTGCCTCCTTTATTCACCTAGTATCCACTGACCAAATACTGTGTGCAAGGTATTGAGTTCTGCACTCTCAGGTATATAAAGCGAATACAATTCCCCTGCTTGAAAGAGCACAAAATAGTAGGTAAATTTATATAGCTACTCAGAGGAAGAAGAGATGACTTTCAGGTTGTAGAATCAAGGAAGACAACTTTAAAAAAAAAATTTGAGTCGGGCTCGGTGGCTCAGCCTGTAATCCCGCGCCTTTGGGAGGCTGAGGTGAGTGGATTGCCTGAGCCGCAGGTTCGAGATCCTCCTGGGCAGCGAGACCTCATCTCTACAATAAATCAAAAAATCAGCCGGGCGTGGAAGCGCATGCCTGTAATTCCGGCTACTTGGAAGGCTGAGATGGAAGGATTGCCGGAGCCCAGCAGGTGAGGCTGCGGTGGCTGGAAGCGGCCACTGCACTCCAGTCTGGGCGACAGAGTGAGACTCCAGCTCAAAAAAAAAAGAAACATTAGGTATTAGCTAGTCCCGCCCCTCATTGTGTGGCAGCTGGTTGAGGGGAAGGAGGCCCTTTCACTCCATCATCATAAAAGAAGAGTTGTGTTTGGACCTCATGTGTCTTGACTCCCAGACCAAATGTTCCCTCCAAGTTTACTAAAATAATTTTAAACCCAGCACACATACAACAATTATAACAGCTCTTGCTGTGAAATAGAAATGTTGGGTGAGGGTGCTCTAGGGCAGGGCCCCAAGGGTGAATAAAGCCTCCTAACTTTAGAGACCTGTCTCTGACCTTCTGTCTGGACTCTTCCTTCTACCCCTCAGTTCCTTTTGCTCTTACTCAGCCTTAGGTGGGACCACACGGTGTTTAGGAAGAGGTGTTAGGCTGTTCAGCAGAGGCCATGGGTTCTTGCCTCCAGTTAACTTGCTCAATTGTATGACCCTGGGTAGACCACTGCATGTTTTGGGGCATACTGTGTTTACAAGGCTCCTTCCTTGCCAGCATTCTGAGATGCGATGGTCTACAACCCTCATATACTCAACATCTCGAGGGGACCTGGTAGAGGCGTATATCACAGCCACCAGAGAAGAACCACATGTAGTTCCTTCATGAAGCCTTTGTCCCTACCCCCAACTCCAGGTTAGAAATCGCCAGTGTTTTCAGAGGACTCCCTGTAGACTTCTTTCTGTGTCAGACATCTGCAATTCAGTCTTAAAGATAAGCAGTGCTTTGGTTCCTCCGTTTGATGAACTTAAAATGCAAACCAGCACAAGAATTTTTATTAGGGTGGAGACTGGGGAGTGGAGTGGGAATGTTGTTCTTAACCTAAGGGTTTTGCTTTTCGCGTCGTAGTGTGTGCTGGTGTAATGAGTGACGGCTCCTTTTTTGGAGTAATTTGAGTCTGTTGCTGTGGTGGTTGTTTTCCATAGCAACCCTTGTTGCTACACAGCTGGCATCTGATGAAATGGTGACCAAAGCTCAGGGGTCTATGCTGAGCCCAAGCTGTCCTCATCCCCTCACATCCCTGCCAAGGATGTTGAGAAACCCTGGCAGAGAGGATGGTCAGCCTGTGCCATTTTGATGAGATTTGATTCGCAATTGCTGAGTTCTGGGGGAGTTCTCAGGGCTCCCCACAAAGTTCGCTGGGCTTAGGCTTCGGAAGCTTTCCCTTGGAAACACCCTCTTCTGTTTCTGTGGAGGAGGAGGGACAAGAAAGAAAGAGGATATTTGGAAAGAATATCTTCTAACTTATCAATGTATAATGATTAGCATCGCTTGCTTTGCTTGTTATTTAAAACCAAAAATTACTAAATAGGAAACAGAGGTCAACCAAAATCACACTAAATTTCTGAGGATAGCAGGACATGGGCCCTGTTTTTTGTTGTTGTTGTTTTGTTTGTTTAGCTATTTCTTTTAAAATGGAAAGTTCCAGTTTGCTTTGGGGCCAGAATCCTTAAAAGAAATCCCAACTAGAAGTGTATTGTGGGTCACCGTATATTTGCTAGTTTATATCTTGCTGACTAAATTGGCAAAGTTTTTATTTTTTCTGGTAAATATTCAGGAGTTTTTTTCCTTACTCCATTCCCCAACAAAATCATATTTGTCTTAAGTGTATGAAGTAAATGACTGTTAAAACTCTCCACACAACTGTGACGATATGAAAATTAGTGGTGGCAAACAAAGATTTCTTTTCTTAGGTACCACAAGGCCGCAGATGAAGTTGACTTTATCCTAATATTACTCTCAAATTATGACCAAATGGAAACAAAACTGGTCAGGCCTCAGAGACCAAAATGTACAGCATAGGTTATTATTTGTGAAAAATGTAGGTGACCCCTTAGAGAGTTTGAAGTTTTCTCTTAAAGTAATTATTAGTCTTGTTTATATATTTTAGAAGGCACACAACCTGTATTATTATGAAAGATTATGCTTATTTTAATTCATAATGAGGCACAAAGTTATTTATTGCCTGGTACAAAGCCCTTTAAAACGGTAATGAAAAACACCAAGATGTCAAATCTAATGAAAAGTTGAACCCTAATTTGATTGCCTAACTTTGGAAAAATGTTTTGAGAATGGCACCTATGTATTATGCATGTGATAAATTATATGCTGACTTTGATAATAATTATAATTTTTAATGTCATTTTCAGTGAACTGAAGCATAACATGTTTATTTCCCATTAAATGGGATTTTTTATTTCTTTGGGGGCAAATATGTTAACCTATACATTTTCCTCATTCTTTAAAAAAAAAAAAAAAATACCAAAAAATCATAAAAATATAACAAGCCAGAAAAGTGAGTCTGGGTAGTGGCTTAATGAATGCAGTGAGGTCATGCTCCTGTGGGTGTCGAATTAAATATCTACATGTCAAAAGACCTTTGATGTTTTAACTTTTGAGATTGTTTACAGCAAATACTTGCTGCTTCCCCCTTTGCTGTTTCTTTGCAGCTTTTCATTTTAAACTCTACCCTAAAGAGTGATTGTGCTAGAAACCACGTTGATGTAAAATGTCTCATGCTTGGCAGCTAACCACATACAGACCGTGTTCTGAGGATGGCAGGCGGCCCCGGTGCATTGCCAGAAACTTTCCACTGGGAGTAGTTTTGCAAGGGGCCGGGCAGGGAGCCCGGGGGACTGAGATGGGGGCCTTTCTCCTGCCTGGTGACTACATCGTATCTTTCTACGTAGGTGAAGCTGCTCTCAGGGGAGAGCCCAGAATGCAGACCCTCCCGGTGGCCTCTGCCCTCAGCAGCCATCGCACTGGCCCTCCCCCAATCAGTCCCAGCAAGAGGAAGTTCAGCATGGAGCCAGGCGACGAGGACCTCGACTGTGACAACGACCATGTCTCCAAGATGAGTCGCATCTTCAACCCCCATCTGTGAGTTCCTCTGTTCTTATTTTGGCCTGTGTGTGCACCATGCGGGGCCTTGTTTCTTTTGCAACTTTGTGCCAATTGTGAAGTTATCCTTTTCATATATTATTTGTAAGGGGTATTATTTATAAAAGACAATTAATGCTTATCTGCCAATTAGACCGATTTTGATAACTTATGGAGAGATGAAATCGCATTTCCTTCCCGCTTACTTGTGTGACCTCACGTGTGTTTCCTCCATGGAAGTTAATGTCTCCTTAGAGCTTCTGGGAGTGGTTATGTGATATTTGGCCTTTTCTTGCTTATACTGATTGTTGTTAGGCGGATCAGTGCTTAGTGAATATCTTTATGTGCTGAAGAACTAGAAAGAAAAAGGAGTACCCATCTGTAGAGGTCTGTTCCTTAGGGGCTCAGGCTTGCACATATGAAGAAGTATTTGCTCTCACAATTTGTGCTCACCGTGTAAACCTGGAACCTTCCCACAGAGGGAAAGCAGCCTCCTCTGTTCATGAGAAGCTGCTGCTTGTCACAACTAATGTCAGCCTGCACAGCGGCTAGAGAACCAGCCTTGAGCCAGGAGACCTGGGTGCGCTGGTTCTTGATCTGCCGCCAGTATACTCTGTCTTTAAATTTTTTTTATGAGTTGAGGACTTACTCTGCTACCTGGACTGGAGTGCAGTGGCACGATCACGGCTCACTGCAGCCTTGAACTCCTGGGCTCAAGTGATTTCCCCCCCCCCAGCCTCCCAAGTAACTGGAACTACAGGCACGCACCACCACGTCTGCCTAATTTTTTGATTTTTTTTTTTTTAAATAGTGAGAAGGGCTTGCTATGTTGCCCAGGTTAGTCTCGAACTCTAGGCTCAAGCAATCCTCCTGGCTTGGCCTCCCAAAGTGCTGGAATTACAGGTGTGAGCCACTGTGCCCAGCCCTCTCTGCCTTCTTGAAAAGGAAGCTCTGTGAATCTGTTTGACATGATCACATTTTTATTTGAAAAGCCGCTCGCTTCTGTGTGCAGTATTCTGGCTTCATCCCTCTTGCACTCTCTTTTCAACACACACCCCCTGGCAGAGGGAGCAGAAAGCTTTTTCCCCATGTTTTCAGGACTTGGAGCCACCCAACCAGCGTGCTTGGGCAGCTGTGGAGGCAGTAAGTCTTCCAGAGACTAGTGTCTTGTCACATGTGGCGAGGTCGTGCGAGTATTTATTGGAAGGAGTAGCTGTGTACATCCAGGTACAAAGGTCCCACTCCTTGTCTCAGTGCCACTTGCTTACTGAAAGCAAGAAGTCATGTGTCGTCGCTGTTCATTCTGAGTCCTGAGGGTGCTGCACTCTCATGCTGGAGGGTGGAAGGGGGTGGCTTCCTCCCCAGAGCTGGGCTTCCGTAGTGAGAGGTAGCCCCGAGCTCCCGCCTCTGCTGCCTCAGCTCCAGCGTCCTCGCATTCCACTCATTCCAGTCTGCTTGGACTGTTGTGTTCAGTCATAAGACACTGACAGAGGTATTTATCCTCAAATAAATCACTGTAGTGTTAGTCAGAGGCTGAGCCTGCAGTCTGGAGCCCTGGAATTTGCTTCAATCAGGAATCCAGCAGCAAGGCCCCGCAAAACAATGAGCTCTCGAAAGCAGGGAGAAACTCATAATTTAGATCCTGGTCGCTTAACTATTTGGAGTTCATTCTTTTATTACTAAGAATTTCTTTTTCTCTCCCATTCTCTTTTTCCAAACCCCAAATGAGAGATATTTGGTCTTTTTTTGTTTTTAAAGGAAGGAAGGAGGAGCCAGCCTGGAGACAGTATGTTTTGTGATCAAACATACCTTAATTTAAATCCTAATTTTACTACTCACCAGTTGTGAGACTTTGGACAAATCACTTAATTTGTTCTTGTTTGTAAAGTGGCAATGATAATAGGTAATGTACAACACTTTGTTGAGAAGTAGAGTCAAAACATACAAAGAACTTGGCACAGGACAACGCTCGGTTGACAGGAGCTATTATTTTTATTAATACCATTATTTTCATACTGGTAATGATGATAGCAAAGAATGAGAATACCAATAACCATACCTTCCCCATAGAATTATTGTAAGTACTTAACTACAGTGCTTGGCAGACAGTAAGCACTCAGCTTTCGTCATGATTAATATTATTATTAGTGTTAAAACATTTAGATAATTGTTATTAATTATTATAAATTATTTGTTAATTAATTTGCTTACATATACGACTTGGAAGTACAAGTCTATGATACTGTAAATGATTTTAGGTGTGAACAACAGGAATACAATTGCAAAATTTCTGTGTAATTTACAGTTGACATACTTAGGCAAAGTTTTAGGAAAATGGAAACAGCAGCCCCCTCATCTCAGGCTCCCGGGACCCACATCTCCAGGTGGTTTTTCTCTCCAGTTTCTTTTATTTTGGTAAAATACACATATCATAAAATGTATCATCTTAACCATTTTTAAGTATACAGTTTGGGTGGCTTTTATAGTCATAAGGAGGAAGGGTGATCATGTGTGGTTAGTTCATTCTGTATGTCACTTGTTGACTGTGTGATATCTCTTAATTTTAGTAACATTACCAGTGTTTCTACTTGTATTTTTCCAAGAGCCTAATGACAGATTTCACAGGCAAATTGAAAAGATGCTGCATCTCTTACTTCTTCATGTTGTGTAATGTTTAGTACTGTTGTTTGATCTGATGAAACGTGTCCTCTTTGAGCTATGGCAAACACCTCCCTTTTTATTTAATATATCTAAGAAGTTCTCTATAATAAATTACAGATTCAGAATTATTAGAAAAGGAGTAGACTTGTGTACTTATCTCTTAAGGAGATTACAAAATGAGTTTTGTGCTTTATCTTACTAGAACTTGTTACCGTCATATAGTGAAAATGTGATTTATTTTAAAGAAATCACAATAATTGTGAGGAAGGAGTGTTATTGAACAACAGTCTGGCAGCTAGCTAAGAGGGTCTTCTTTTTTTTTTTTTTTTTGAGTTGGAGTCTCACTCAGTCGCCCAAACTGGAGAGTGCAGTGGCTGCTCCCGGCCACTGCAGCCTCGACCTGCTGGGCTCCGGCGATCCTTCCACCTCAGCCTTCCGAGTAGCCGGAATTACAGGCATGCGCTACCACGCCTGGCTGATTTTTAGATTTATTGTAGAGATGAGGTCTCGCTGCCCGGGCGGGTCTCAAACCCACCGGCTCAGGCAGTCCACTCACCTCAGCCTCCCAAAGGTGCGGGATTACAGGCTGAGCCTCTGAGCCCGGCAGCTGCTAAGAAGGTCTTAAAGATGCATGCCTTGGCTGAATTTCATTATAACCATTATATGGAGATATTTTCCAGGAGAGAAATGGAGGGATCCAGTGGCTCTAAGCCAGATTAGGAAGCTACAGAGAGTATGACTGATTTCCATCTGATTTGAATTGGGGTTGGTGGGGGAGAGGAGAGAGGTTTCCTTAGTGATTTCTCTAAAACTTGGAAAATTAGAAGTCCTAGGCTCTTATTCCAGCCTCCTATATCCCATCTCATTTGAACTCCCTGTTTATTCTTTGGACTCAGACACGTCGTGCAGATTCTCTACCAGCAACTCCACCCCACTTTTTGATGAAATAGTGAAAAATGAATCACTTTATATTAAATAGTACAGCACTTGAACCCTGTTATTTTAGTGTAATGATATTTGGACATTGAGGAACTTATATATGACCCCCAAAAATCAAAATTTTATATCTTTTTCTGATAACAGAAAATGCATGGTAACATATGAAACAGTCACTGGCATGCACTGCAGGTTCATTGATACATGTTGTACAGTAGTAATTTGTTTGACATCCTCTACCTTGTGTTTCTCTATTTGAGCAGACAGTGCAGTCTCATTTTATTCCTTCCACAATAATATGTAATTTATTGTCCAGTCTGTTGTTTGAAGAAGATGCGGAAGGACACACTCGTGATTCCTGAAAACCACTTCTCAACCGATCAATCATATCTCAGTATATATTCCATCTGTTTTTTTGCTTTTTCGTGTGATTTGAAAAGCTTCAAGGAGACATGCATTTTAAAAATGTGCTTGCATAAATTTGTAGTGTATAATCACCAGCAATCTCTATGTCTCCTGAGAGAGGACATCTGAGTGATTTTCTGGATTTATGATGTCCCCTCAGTGGGGACATCTGAGTGCAAAGCGTTAATTTTCTTGTTACTGTGGTGATCCTGAGAAATATATTGTTTCTTAAGAAGAGTATTAGTAACGTGAATGTCTATTTGGAAGTCAAAAAGTACTCTACCTGCTATTTGCAAAGAAAGTGGATTATGGATTGGGAAGGGGGCAGAGTGGGATTTGTCTTGTGGAAAAATCAGTAAATCACTTTTCACTGGGGCACAGTGGCCAATACCTTTGATCCAGCTACTCAGGAGGTCAAAGCGGGTGAATTGCTTGAGGCCAGGAGTTTGAAACCAGCCTAGGTAATGTAGGCTTGAATCCAGGAGTTCCAGGCTGCACTGAGCTATGATCACACCGCTGCACTCCAGCCTGAGCAACAGAATGAGACAGCATCTCTTAAGATAAACAAAAAACAGGTCAGGCTCAGTGGCTCAGCCCGTAATCCCAGCACTCTGGGAGACCGAAGTGAGTGGATTGCCTGAGCCCGCGGGTTTGAGACCAGCCGGGGCAACTTGATGAGACCTCGTCTCTATAATAAATCAAAAATTAGCCAGGCACAGTATTGAGTGCCTATAGTTCCGGCTACTTGGAAGACTGAGATGGAAGGATTGCCGGAGCCCAGCAGGTTGACACTGGGGTGACTGTGAATGTGCCACTGCACTCCAGCCTGGGCGACAATGAGACTCCCACTGAAAAATAAAAAATAAAAAGGAAAAACAAAAAACAAACCTTTTTTTTAATGGCCCTTATATTAAAGTGTGATCTGCTAAAAAATAACTCTCTTTCTCTTGCCTGTTTATCTACTTATTATCCATATGGACTCGTGGGTTCCTATTTTA